CCTGACACAATATCATATACTTGCTCTAACCTTGCTCCTGTCCAGACCCTTCCCCTCCACTGATTTCCCATGTAGACTTGTCCCTTCCTTCCCTGCTCTCATATAGCTGAGTTTATTTCCAACATTAGTCTGCTTGCACCTGTTCTCACTGTCTCTTCACTTGTGGATTTTCTTATTTTCCTTTCTACCCTGAAGATGGAGGCGATACGGTCCTCCAAAACGTCGGTTAACACCATATCTAAACTTTGCCACATCCCAGAAGACTGCTTTCTTCATAGTCACTGCCGTGAAAACCTAAAATCTTACAGGTAGGGAAGATGTTCTCAAACCAACAATTGGAAATGAGAGTTTGCACGAAATTAGTAATGATAATGGAGTTAGAGTAATAAACATTCATTAGAGTAATAACATTCATAAATGTACTTGTCTCCTTATGGGAAAACACACAATCAAATTGATCATATTTTAATAGATAGGAGATGGCATTAAGGTATACTTTATGTCCAATTATTCAGGGCAGCAGACTGTGATACTGACCACTACCTGATGGTGGTAAAAGTTAGGGAGGGACTGGCAGTGAGGAAACAAATAACGCACACAATTCATAAGGAGGGGTTCAATCTCAAGAAATTAAAAAAGTAGAGGGTAAAGAGTAGCATAATGTTGAAATCTCATATAGGTTTGCGGCTTGGAAAATTTGGAAACTGAGGTGGATATTAATAAAGCTTGGGGAACTGTTACAGAGAATATACACATTTCTGTGAAGGAAAGTCTAGGTTATTATGAACTGAAAAAGCATAAGCCATGGTTCAATGAAGAATTCTCATAATTATTTGAACAATGGGAACAAGCCAAATTTCAGTGGTTACAGAATCCAAGTGAAATAAATGGGGATAATCTGAACTATATAAGACCTGAAACCACCAGGCATTTCAGGAATATAAAGAGGGAATATCTGAAAGACAAAATTGAGGAGCTTGAAATTAACAGTAAGAACAAGAACATTAGAGACCTGTATAGAGGAATAAATGATTAAAGAGGGGTTATCAACCTAGAAGTAACTTAGTGTAAGTGGCCTCCATAGTCTAGAGGTAACGTTCCCACCTCATGACTCGTAGTACGCGGGTTCAAATACCCGGCAGAGGTCGTCGAATTTTTAAGGGCGGAAAAATTCTGGGAACAAGTCCTCCGGGAGGGACTTTAAGCCATGGGTCCCGTGTCGTAACTTTACGGCACGTAAAAGAACCTCATGTCTCCAAAGGAGGCACTGAGCAAAATTACGGACGTCTCCCGCCCAACAGTAGCCACTAATACCTCTGGTAGATGGGGGAAGCATTATAGATACCGCTCAGCTAAGTAGAGACCGATCTCGCTGGCTGGGTGGGACTGATGGTAAGCACCAGTACCGGTAGGATATAGAGACTGGTAGAATATCATAGAGGGAAGCACAAAGGACCAAGACAGGTATAAGTGCATGGGGAAACCTACCCTCTCCAATAACTAACTAACTAACTAACTTAGTGTAGGATGAGAATGGTGACCTGCTTGCAGATTTCCACACCATTTTGAGTAGGTGGAATAAATTCTTCTCTCAGTCACTGAAAGTACATAGGGTCAGTGATTTGAGGCAGATATAAACACATATAACTGAGCTGTTAGTACCTGAGCCTAGATCTCTCAAGGAAGAAATTGCTATTGCAAAATTGAAAAAGTATAGATCACCAGGTAGTGATCAAATCCTATCAGCAATGATTCAAGCATGAGGTGAAATATAACATCCTAAGGTCCATAAGCTCACTAATTCTGTTTGGAATAAGGAAAGATTTCTTGATCAGTGGAAGGTGTCTATTATTGTACCACTTCACAACAAGGATGATAGAACTGACTGTAGTAATTATCGTGGGATATCACTGCTATCAACTTCATACAAAATTTTATCCAATATTCTTCTCTCAAGGTTAAGTCCACACATAGATGATATTATTGGGGTTCATCACTGTGGATTTCAACTTAACATATCAACTACTGGTCAGAACTTTTGCATTCGTCAGAAACTGGAAAAAAATGAGAGTACAATGAGACAGTACATCAGCTATTCATAGACTTCAAGAAGGTCTATAATTCAGTTAGGAGGGAAGTACTGTATACAATATTCTCATAGAGTGTGAGAAATCTATGAAACTAGTTAATCTGATCAAAATATGTTTAAACAAAGCATATGGTAAAGCCCATATAGGTAAACATTTGTCTGATAATTTTCCTATCTAGAATGGTCTAAGACAATAAGATGTTTTATTGCCACTCTTTTTCATCTTTGTTTTAGTATATGCCATTATTAAGGTCCAAGAAAACCAGGTGGGACTAAAATTAAATGGGACACATCGACTGTTGGTCTATGCTGATGATGTGAATCCACTGGGTGATAATATAAATACCATAAGGAGAAACATACAAACTTTAATTGGTGCTAGTGAGGAGGTTGGTCTAGAAGTAAACACAAAGAAAACTGAGTATGTGTATATGTTGCTATCACATCACTAAAATGCTAGGCAAAACAGTGACATAAAGATAGGTAACAGATGTTTTGAAAATGTGGCACAGTTCAGATACGTATTTGCTGCATAATATTAAAATGGATCTTTGATAGGATGGGGTGGTATGGGCTAGATTGGTCTGGCTCAGGATAGGGACCAGTAGAGGGCTTTTGTGAACATGGTAATGAACCTTTGGTTTCCATAAATGCTGGGAAGTTCTTAAGTCGCTGCACGATTGGAAGCTTCTCAAGAAGGGCTCAGCTCCAAGAGTGAGTGAGGAAGAAAAGGAATGACCTGGCTCTACACATTTTAGGATGAACTCTTATCTGTAGAATGTGTGACCAAATATTCTCACAAAAATGATATTACAAACTCAAGTCAAGTTTAAAATATAAATTGACGCTGCATATCTCAATTATTCAGTGGCAACAATATTCAATTTCTAAAAAATGGCGTGAATAAAAAGGCCTAAATTCGAAAGTTTCCGAATCTCATGAACTTTTGGAAGCATAATGTTTTCAGATACCGAAATCTAAAATTTGGTAATGAAGACTAAATAGCCGGACTATATCTAAAATCGTTGCTGCTGCAAGGTTTATGGACATGTGGATTTCAAGGTTATGAGAGGTTAAAGATTTGCAAAGGTTGATCATTCAGTTTCTTTTGGCTCTGCCCGCCAATTAATTCTCACCAGAAGAACAGAATTTAAATTTAATGTGTTCAGTATGAGGTATTATCCCACCTTTAAACAAATACATCTCTATGTATTTATGACTATATGTTATATTTCTGTGTGTGTCCGCGCGTGCGTGTGGGCGCACTCGGTAGTTTGTTGAAGCATTATGCTACAAGCCGGAAGGTCGTGGGTTCGATTCCTGATAATACCACTGGATTTTTCAATTGACCTAATCCTTCCAGCCGCCCTATGTCCCTGGTGTCCACTCAGCCTCTAACAGAAATGAGTACCAGGAAACTTGCTGGGGTAAAGGGCGGCAGACCGGCGTGTAAGGCTCACAACTTCACCGCCATCTGTGAGCCGACTGTCTAGAAAACGTGGGAGCCTCGAAGTCTCACAATCCTTTGGGCCTCCACGGCCTGTTACCTTCCGAAATCATCCTCCTCTTTGAACAGTATTTTTATATTTAAAATCAAAGTTTATCACAACCCCTCAAAATAGTTATTGTCTACATGTTTGATCTCTTACCTTTATGCTATACGGTCGGGCAATATGAGCATAGTTCGTATATAGAAATGAAACATAACTCACATTCTTCTGAGAAATTTCTGTCGAAAATATTTAATTATATAAACAAGGCCAAAAGCAAACATCAAAGCAAGAATTCCAAACTAAAAACAATTTTCTGGAAATATACGCTAACACCGCTGCACTACTGCCCGCCATCCAACGCGGATTTCGGCAGTGTAACACGCAATGTCCCAATTGTACTGGTACATACTTTACTGCGTTCACAGTTAGTTTACCCCTGATATAAACAAAGGCACTTGTGTTCTTCCGCTCACTGCTTAGCTGATTGGTTCTTAATGTTAGTAACTACCGGTCCACGGACTGCACTGGTCTGCGGTAAATTTTTATCGATCCCTGAAATATTATTACCAAAACTGCTTTCTTAGAACTACTGGAAAGAGAAGAGTCTCCTTATGAATAGTATTTTGCTAGGCAGGCTCTTCTGTCTCCTCATAGTGTATGCAGAATGTACGTATGTTCCTTCCCCCTTCTCTCTTTTCCAGCGGAGCTTGAAGTCTCATGGAAGAATTTTAACCTTCCTCTGTAGAGAATTAAATATTTGGGGATAGCAAAGTCAGTATAGCGACTAGCTACTGGCTGGACGACCGAGGGGTCGGAGTTCGAGTCCCGGTGGGATCAAGATTTTTCACTTCTCTATGTCGTTCAGGCCGGGTCTGGGGTTCACCCATCCTCCTTACCAATGGGTACCACGGGCTCTTTCCCTGGGGGTAAAATGGCCGGGGCGTGAAGCTGAACATTCGCCTCCAACCAGTGCCGAGGTCAAGAAAACGTGGGTCTATACATCCACTCCCCTGTACGCCTTCATGGCGTAGTGTTTACTTAGTTAAGTACAGGGACAACTATATTTTTTTACCGTTTCACCGTATTGTTTGGGTTGAGGTGTTTCTCAGCCTATACAACACGGCGGACTGGTTAGTTCTCTAGCTAGGACAAGTATTCGCGCTAAGAATATTACAGTCAGTTTCAGAGTAAAAGTGTGAGTACGAGGTCATAGATACAGCCCCTTTCTAATCATGCGATACACATTATCTGTGTTTGAGTTGATCTCCAAGGTATTACAGTATGACTGATTTTTTCTACCCCTTGTTTCCCTGTGCTACAGTCACGCACTGGGCGACACTTACAGGCATTCCTTTTATGGCGAGCTGCTGTCGCTGCCTTTAGCCCCATATTTCGAGATGCCCCTGGCCTCACGTTACCTGGGTTGCTGTTCGGAGACAGGCTGGATAAGGTGTGGCCTTCTCCGGTAGGCAATGCCGAAAATTCCGCTCCTGAAGTACGTGGTTGACTTTATCGCCTTCCCCTTCTCTTTGGTGTTGACATGATGAGCTGGGAAGGCAGAAGAACTTATTTGGGTGCCAGTAGTTATCACATTACAGGGGCTACAAATTACTATAATGCCTTTGGGTCAGGATCAGCAGGGGTGACTAGCTCTGGTTTGTGACTGGGTAGGACATGTGGCCTGTCTTTAGGCTTAACTTGCTCTGGAAGATCGGGAAGTGTTCTGTTCCTATACACAAGCACACACGCTCCATGACTACGCTGGTTACATTCGAAGTCGTGATTTATTGAACAGCACTAGGATAATTAATACACTCGAATACTAACAAACTGAGTTCGCTTTAATACTACCATACCTTTTCTAATAGTTTACAGATTGACTTAGGGATTTCTGCGCCGTCTAAGTACAACGTCGTTCATTGTTCCTTTATAGGACACTATTTCACTACACGTTTCGGCCTAAATGGCCATCTTCAGGTGTACAGATTGTTGTAGTTCAGGACTCTGCTGCTCACTCTAAGAAAACCTTATTACACCGTACACCTGAAGATGGCCATTTAGGCCGAAACGTGTAGTGAAATAATGTCCAATAAAGGAACAATGAACGACGTTGTACTTAGACGGCGCAGAAATCCCTAAGTCGGATCTATATATTGCAACAGGATGCTCTGAAATATATCATTATGTTTACAGATTGACTTACTGCCATAAAATGCACTCTGGGTCCTTTGAATAATTGAATAACAGTCAGCTTAATAAGTATGTAGGTAGTGAACTTAGAATTCTAGTAGCGGGGATTTGCTCCCGTATATTTTGATAACTAGAAACCGAGTGTTTGCAGAGTCGACGTTCAGAAAATTTTAGGACCTCTCTTCTTCGCAGCAAAGGTTGCCTCCCTAGTTTTCCCGAATGGTCTAGTTTAACAATTAGGAGGTGTTAGTAATTTCCGGAATTCCAGTCAACTGAAGTTCTTAGAGACTTTGAGCCTTCAGACGCAAACGGTATACTGGACAGGTCAGTGATTGACAAGGGTCAAAGCTTGGGCCTGTTGCCCTCCTACTCGAAGATGAAGTGCTGCACATGACGCCAGAGCAAGAATTACGCAGTTATTTTGCCGCCGTCTCAAAACTCGAAATTTCGGAAAAAACAAAAAAACATTAGCAGCATCCGGATAAGACAGCAAGAATTGTCCTATGTCAGCTCCTGGGTGCTGTATATGACATATATCTCTTTATACACTGTAAACACATAACACGCATGTTAATTATAATAAATTAACTTCTGCTCCTCATTACCGGCAGGTTATAATGAACGGCTACAAGCTTCCAAGTGAAGGTTTGTTCTGAAATTGAAGTAACTGTTCAAGCTTCATCTTGACTGCCTCATTAATGAAGAATAAGTATTATATCTAACTTACTAAATTCATGGAGCTGAGCCCTTCTTGAGAAGCCCACAAATGTGCAGCTACTCAAGAACTTCCCAAAATTTTATGGAACCCAAAGGTCCTCAGCATTGTGTTCTCAAACATTCTCAGTCTGTCCCTCCCTTCATGTCAGAGAACAAGTTTCACACTCTTATAAAACCACAGACAAAATTATAATTTTCTATATTCTATTTCTTACGTCTTTAGACAGCAGACGAGAAGACAAAAAGTTATGGACTGAATGGTAGTAAGCCTTAAAGTACGTAATATCACTTAAAGAAATGAAAATGGCATGAAGACTTAAACATACTTGACAAATTCTCGCTCTCTCTAGAGTTCGGCCATATTCTGATTCTATTTTCCGTGAAAAGGAATATTCTCTTAAGGTTGGGGTACACAAATAATTTACAGTGAACAATGTATGCAATAGTTTGTTACTACAGCAGTTAAGTAATTAAGTAATTTATATACAGCTTTAGGTTCCTTCCTTCTCTTCTGTCTCTGTCTTTCTCTCTCTCTTTTCTCATGTTTCTGTCCCTTTAAGAATTGTCTTACACAATGATCTTTCTTTCTTTTTAGGTTATTACTCAACCTTATTTTCTTCCCTTTCCTTTCTTTTTTCTTCTTTTTGAAGGCGTAGTTTACATTGCGTACTTTTCATTTCAGGAACCTTTTTACAATTTTTCTTTTTTCCTACAAGTTTCAAGTTTCAAAGAAGATTTTTCCAATTTACAGTTACAACAGTGTCAACGTAACTCAGCTAATTATACCATTGATGAGGAAAGTTGCTCTTAGACAGGAGATGAATGCCTTCTTAGATCAGATCAGTCAGAATCATGGCTAATTTTCTTACCAGTGGCCGGAATAGCTCAGTCTGTATAGGAACGGGCTGGATGACTAAGGAATCGGGGTTTGATTGTCAGTAGAGCCAAGAGAGTTCCCTGTGTGCCACTGCATCGGGACCGCCCATCCAGTCTATTTTCTAAAAAAAAAAAAATGGGGAGCGCTTTCCGTGGGATTATAGTGGCCGGGGAGAGAAACTGAACACTCAGGAAAATCTAGTATCGAGGTTAGTGCGTTGAGCTACGCTTCAACTCCCACACACACAGTGTGTCCAGGTTCTGTTAGGAATGTGTTCATTAGAAATACAAGACGTGAATTATTTTCAAATTTTCACTCTTTTTATTCAAAATAGTCTCCTTCTGAATCAATACATAGCTGGAATAGATTGAAAAGTTTTCGAAAACAGTCACTGTACTCTTTTTGCGGAATCGCATTTAAAACTGCGGTAAATTCGCTTTGGGTGTCCTGGATGGTGTCGTGACGGTCTCCTTTCATCGCCAACTTAACTTCTGGAACAACTAGAAATCTGCTGGAGCCATATCTGGCGAATACGAAGGATGATCAAGGATTGTGATCCCTTTTCTGGCAAAAAAGAAAATCACGCACGATCTTCGATTTCTGTGGTGGGGCATTGTCGTGGAGGAGCGACCAGGAACCTTGCTCTCGATACTCAGGTCGAATTCGAAGAATTCTATCCCATAAACGATTGAGGACTCCGAGATAATAATCAGAATTCACTGTTTGACCTTCTGGCAGAAATTCCTTGTGAACGATTCCTTTGGAATCGAAGAAAACGGCTAGCAGTGTCTTTACTCGACTCTTTTGCATGCGCACTTTCTTTGGTTTCGGCTTCTTTGGGCTCAACAACGCTGCACTCTGCCGCTTTGTGAGAGGCTCATATTGAAAACAATGTCTCGTCACCAGTAACAATCGATTTTGTATATTTTGTATCACTTAGGGCCGACCGTAACATGTCTTTGCATTGTTCCACTCTGGCATGTTTTTCATCGCCTGACAGCGTGTGCGGTATTAACGGCGCACAGACCTTCCGTTTGCCCAAATCCTCGGTCAAAATTTGATGCACAATACTCTTTGGTATTCCCAGAAGCTCCTCGGTAAGTCTTGCAGAAACACATCTGTCTGATGCAAGGATTTCGGTCACTTTTTTCACATTTTCTTCAGTGCGACTTATTCTCAGCTTTGATGCACGTGGAGCGTCTTCGATGTCCTCCCTGCCGTCACGAAATAAGCATACCATCGAAAAATGTTCGGGCCACTCAAATAATCACTACCGTACACACTTTTCATCATTTTGTACGATTCTCCGGCGGTTTTGCCTAACTTCAAACAAAATCTGATGTTGGCTCTCTGTTCAATCGCCATTTTCCGACGAGCGTCAGAACAGTACTGTTGCATTCAAGGTCACAACGGTCACAACACATGATGTAGCGATGTAGCTTTGAAATGAAACTTCAAGGACCTTAACGCCACAACTCGCCAACAGATGGCATTGCAGGACAAATTAAAAAAAAAAAGTCCTAACGGATCCTGGACACACCGTGTACAACTTCTTGGCGTGGAACTTAATTGCATCGGGACAATTCTGCCTTCCTACATACCTCTCAAATTCCTCCTTCCCCCTTGACAGTATTATCTGTTGTACGAGATCATTAGAATCACATGTGCTGTGCTCCTCGAACAACTGTGTAATGAAAATTGTTGTATTCTGGGATATGATGCTTTGTAGTCTGGTAAATATATACCATACTACAGAGCTGAACGTCCCATGTGACAATAATGTCCATAATTACCGTCGTGAGAACGTTTCCGAAATTTTGCAATGTTCAGTCAAATACATTTTTAGTCAGTTTAATTTCTTGCGGTGGGGTGAGTCCACTTGGTACGTCGGCCACTAATTGGCCTATTGTACCAGACCCGGATAATAGATGATGATGATAAATGTGGACCAGTCGGTGGAATGAGAATTGGCAGGGGAAAGCGAAGTACTTGAAGAAAACGTGCCCGAGTGTCACTTTGTTCACCACAAATTCAACATGGCCTGACCTGGGCTCGAACAGCGGTGGGAAGCTGGCGACAAAACGCCTGAGCTATGGCACGGCCAGTCCAGCACCTTTAGTAGCCGACATTTGTGTTTGCCCTATCGGGATTCAAAGTATTCCCTACTTACACAGAACTGACATGCTTCATTCCCAAGCGCGCTAGAAGTCGCAGAAGTGGCGGAGAACGGTGATGCTTCTTCTTCTTCTATTCTGCGTCCGCTGCGGAAGAATTCGTTCCCCAAGTCTTTGCTGGCGCTTGGGAAGGGCTGGGGTAAGATGGCATTTACAGTGTAAGGACTGTAGGAGCCCGAAAAATCCGTAGTTTGACATGATAAATTTTTGAGTACGTCCAGCAAGCAAAAATTCGTTTTATGCAAGTTCCACAACCTGTAAAACCACTGAAAGAACAATTATAAATACATACTACATAACTGATATTTGTACATTTGCAGGGGACTCTGATTCACTGTATGAAATACCGACAGATGTCTCTGGCTGCAGTCATGGCTGCGAGAATTTGTATGAAAATAGTACCTCATATTAAATCTTCAAATTATTTGCCACAGTTTGGCATAATTCTCCGTAAGGTATGTAATTTATTATATGCACATTTATAGAGTGCATTTCATTATTTGAAAACATTTCTGTTGCCATATGTCAACCAGTGAAGGAAGTGAAATTTCGACAAATTTGTAATGGCGCAAGTTTCCAGGATTAATACCGAAATAAATTGTGTTACATGATAACTCAATAAAGAATAAAACAACTATTTCTCGACATTTTGTTATACATCTGTTTCTTTTCGTTTCTTAACAACGGAAGCAATGCTTCCCTTCCGTGCACGGCACGCCACTGCTCTTAAATACACTCTGCTGAATGTGACTGCCAATGCAGAAATTTAACCCGGAGTACTTGCAAAAGTGACATACCTGCAGTCTAAACATTTTCTGCTGTTCCACACACATTTGTGAGACTTCCATGAAAAGTTTACATTTTTATGTTGAAAGTCTTCAGAAATATAGAAAAAAAACTTCTCTGCATTTTCGTATGCCCCTATTGTTTGAGGATTTAAACCCTAAATGTTTTTTATTTCCACCTCTCAAGTAAACTACTACCTTAGGTTTAGCAGCTGCACCAGAACACCTGAAAAACCTCTATATTATCACAGAAGATGTAACCCTTCCAGTTTACTTAACAATCTAGTTGGAACTGAAAGCCCTTTCTCAGAAACATAATATTTTATGGCAGGGTGCAATGTCAACACTTTATTTTTATTAGTTGTTTTATTTCCCAAAGGTTCCACTCCGTGATTTTAGTCCACAAGCGATCTATACCGACTATGCAACCGCCTCTTGTCAGCGAATTTTAGTGCCGACTTTAGCGGATAGAAGGTGTTGCGTGGTCAGTGCAACGAATCCCCACAGTCATTAATTTCGGTTTTCTAGACTGGCCCAAAGAATCCCACACCTTGGTTAAGTTGGAAAAGCACTGGTAGAGTAAAAAAACTAAATGTTGCAGTTGAGGTTTAGTGGTCCCAAGCTATGAACTGCTCCCTTCCTCATCCTTTTTAATTCACTATTTACTAATTACATAATTTGATGCTGTGTAAAGGTAAAATTGCCCATGTGCTTAATTAAGCACTGCTATGAAGACTGGAGGGGTGGGGGAGACAAAATTAGTGAGCTGGCAACAGACAATCAGAACAAGAGCATTAAGGACATTGGTTTGATGGTTCTTTGACTTCTTTTTTTCTCTTAGTTTTGGGTCTTCTTATACATTTCCAAAATTTTCATTATAAATTTTCTTATTCTGTCTAAGTGACTAAGCCTGAGCCAAGGTGCATATATAGATGTAGTTATACTGACTTAGGATGTCCAGTGGTTGAGATTGGCTCTATGTAATGTACCCAGCTGGGTAGACACCTCCCCACCCTTTAACTTGAGAATGGAAATAGATCCAGTTTCCGAAACATTATGTTTCTTTTAATATTAGATGATGGACAAAGTCCAGAAACTCAGTAATCCCAAACATTACTAATCCTGTTAAGGACATCAGACAGGCTGTGAAAATCTAAGAACCAAATAATTTTATTGCTTTTCAGATCTTGACTGTGAATCAGTTCAAACAGACTGAACATTGTCTTCTGAGTTGTAATACAATATGATTTACTTTGTATTGTTTGTGTTATATGTTGAAACTTTTTTGTGGTATATGAGTACATGGTCTGACAATAAAGTTTGCGAACCCATCGTGGTAAAGTGCTACACGCCTTAATTCCGAATATTACTGTGGTCACCTTCAAAGTACTCCCCTTGGGAGGCTATGCAAGAATAACAGTGCCCAGTCCACCCTTCAGAACAATTTTGGAACTGGTTTTGTGGAATGACCTTCAGAGCTGTCTTCGTATAACACCCGATGTCAGCAGTGTCATCAAAATGCCATCCTTTCAACATTTCCTTTAGCTTCAGGAACAGAAAAGGTCATTGGGGGCTAGATACAGTGAATAGGGAGGGTGTGGCATCACAGTTATTTGTTTACTAGCCAAAAACTCCTTCACAGACATTGCCGTGTGAGCAGGTCCATTGGGACCATTTTTGCACACACCTTCCTCACGTCAAGATCTTCAGTTAAGATTTTCCTAACTCTTTCTCTGTCCATGTTTCCTTGCTCTGCTATGCTCTTGACAGCCAACAATTTTCGTACACAGTTTGACAAACTTTTGCAGTGTTTCCTTCAGTTCTGCTTGTTGCTGGCTGTCCTGATCTCTCTTTATCAGTGACACTTTCTCTTCCCTCAGAAAAACATGTCACTCACTTGTAAACTGCCATTTTCATCATAGCATTATGCCCATAAACTTACACTAACATCTCTCTGATTTTGCTTCCACTCTTGCCAAGTTTAACAAGAAGCTGTGTCATTCTTGTGATGGCACACCAAAACACACTCGGAAAATAACAGACACCACTCAGAAAGAGGCTGCCATAGATCAACAATAAAATAGCTGTGAAACGCTGATATGCCAACATCATCAAGCCATACTGAGGTTTCTGTCCACTGCTGCCATGGCAAGCACACGGTGGCAAGTTCACGAACTTTATTGTCAGAGTATGTATACTGCAAACTAATTTTGATGTTACTTTATTATTGAGACTGGTTTATTATACCAGCATTTTGTTGGTTTTTGTCCATTGTCTGAAGTACTTTTGTATATACCATGGTTTGAGGGTTGGTTTTACTGTCATCTGTTTCAAATAGAGGACATTGGACAGTGTCCAATTTAATATTGGTATAGTGAGGCAATCATTATAACAACACTGTTGAAGATATTAAGGTTAATAATTACTGTTTTACTTCTAGGCAGCAACACAATCTGATTTTGATATTCAGCATAAAACTCCACTGGCTAGACGTGTTGTGAGTATGAGTTTGAGTTTGAAGAGCGAGCTATATGAAATGCACATCAGTTGTGACCAAAGATTTCTTTCCAGATTTTGATTTATGTGCAACTTAACCTAAGATATGTATTTTATTATCAGTTTACATGTATTTAGCACAATGTATACAAGTACCATTACAGTTTTTAATACATTTCTTTGTTTAAAATTTTCAAGTTTGCAGATTTATGTATTATAAGAAATTTGTGGGAATGCAGTTTTGGATTGTGGTCTTCTGGTTAGGACACCGTAGTCTCATATGTGGTTACCAACATTTTGAAGCAGCATACTTCAGTATGGAAGTTCTGCTTTGAAAATAGTAGAAGCAGAATAGAAGTGATAGTCTGCTCTGTAAATGGAGGTGGCTTGTTCCTTCAGAACAGTGGTAACCATGTGTGAGACTAAGTAGGTTATAGAATAAGATCCTAGATCATTACAGGAATCAAACCCTGCACATTAAAGTGGTCCTGCATCAGAAATTCAGAGTCATTCCTCTTAAGGTAAATGTAACATTTTGACAAGTTTACATATCTAGCAAGTCACAGAGGTAGCTGCACCAGCAGCTGTATTGAATTGTCAGTAATTGAACCCTATGATGCATTAGACTGTTTTCCCACATGTATAGGCTAGTTTCTCAAATTCATAATGAAGAAGTACTTGCACATGCAGAGAAAAGGTGTGGTACTCCTCTCTCTTGAACATTCTGCTTTTAAGTTCTTGGCGTTCATACCAAGCCAAGAGACATTCTAACTTAATCTCTCATAGGCAGTTACTATGGCAGCTTACATAGCACTTTGTACGTAGTTTAAATTTGGTCATCTCAATGTGTGTATTCTGATTCCTACATATGAGGGATATTTGGAAAGTAACCTCTGGTGAGCTGTTAAGACGAGCAGTGAGGAAAAGAAATTATTAATATACAAAAAATATGTACGCACTTAAACTACTTCTCAGCATAGTCACCACCGGAATTGAGACACCTGTCATGTCGGGGAATAAGTTTTTGTATGCCTGTGTCGAAGAAGTCTGCTGCCTGTGAGCTCAGCCATGTTTTGACACCTTCCATGAACTCATTACTGTTGAAACATGATCACAACCAGTTCTTCAGGTTGGTGAACACATGGAAGTCATTCAGAGCGAGAGCAGGACAGTAAGAAGGGTGGTCAAACAATTCCCGCCTGAAATGCTCAAGCAGTGCTCAAGTGCAAGCAGCTGCATGCAAATGTGCATTGTCATGGAGGAGCATTATACCAGATATCAGCATTCCATGTCTTTTGTCCTGAATGATCAATGTTATTGTGGCCCCCTGTTGCATGAATTCCACCATCAGCACTCTTTTCGTGTCCCAGAAAACAGCTGCCGTCAGCTTTCTGGCAGGCAGAGAACATTTGTTTTGAACGTTTTCTGCTTGTTTGGTGAATGTGTGTGCAGCCACTGCTATGACTGCTCTTTGGTTTCAGCATTCACAAATGAAACCCAGGTTTCATCACCTGTTGATTGTATGATGTGATGAGAAGTTCATTGCGATCTTTCTGGTATCACCTTAAAAAAATGAAAGCCAAAGCCATTTTCTGCATTTTGTGCACACCCATGTGCATTTTTGGAACTCATCTTGTGCAAAACTTGTGATAGCCTAGCCTAACTCTGATAATCTTGTAGAGAACAGTGCATGAAATTTTTGGAAATTCACATGAAAGTTCAGAAATTGTGAGCATTTTTGAAACTCGTCTTGTGTGAAATTTGTGGACATTCACACAAAAGCCTAGAAATTGTGAAGCGCCATCTTTCACAATTTTTTTGGTCAACACCATGGATAAGATCGTCACTTACTGCAGATGGCTGACCATTTCTCTCTTCATCGTGAACATTTGTTTGCTCGTCCATCTTTGAACTTTATACACCATTGTCTTACTGCCTTAAACTGCTTAAAATTCATGATTGATTTCTGCAGCACTCATGTTTTTAGCAAGAAGAAAGTGGATAACATTGCAAATTTTGTAGCTGGTGGGATTATCAATTGCAGGGCACATTATAACTCACTCTGTAGAGACATGAATAAACACTGTGTGACCAGTTATGTGATGAATTTAGAAGACAAAATGAGTCAGTTGATGCTGCCTCACACGTGCAAGCTCTCCCCACTCCTACGTTTGTTACCTAAAATAAACGGAGGTTACTTTCTGACTAGCCCTCATATATCATGATGTGTAACACTGAATTTTGTGTGTTTAATAAACCTATTCTGTGTTGAAAATTTTTATTGAGCTGGGTTTTTTCTTCTTTTTACTTTGTTTAATGACACCTTACTCATACATCCAGCTACCAGAAAATATCACTCTGCTCAAGCTGTATTATCCCTACCACATGATCCCCAGCCACAATCCTGAGGAATAGGACACAGTAACCTACAAGAACAGAATAAAAATTTGTATTGCCATTAAAACCTCGGATCTGATATCGACTAGCTGTGTTATTGTTCACTAGATTGACACTTTAATTGCTCATATTCCATAATTCATATAGACTGTAAAAGACCAGATTTATAGTTTGCAGAAATATTCCCTTTCCACCCCAGAATCTTGCCTCAGGAATTAACATGGAGAATCCTTGTTTCTTGATAAGATTTAAAGAAAAATAAGAATGTTATGAAAATTTACAATGTATGTACCTCTTTCATCCAGAAAGGCTACTGTTACAAATATAAAACAATACTACGTACATATATCGTCAAACCAGAATCTTGTATTCTGATTCAAATCTGCCACCTAGTAAAATATAATTAAATACAGTACTGAAATTTGTAAACAAGATTATGAACTACTTTTCCTACTATATTTACCTTTACTGTATAGTACTAATAATTGAAAATAGTGAGTTGCCAATCCATTATGATTCCCATTCTGCATGTGCATGCTTGTCCAGCCTGCAGAGCATGCTCATTTATATGAATTAGTTAGCAAAATCACTGACAATCTTAACATGAGTTGCAGAGAAAATACATATATTGAATATCGGAGTGTAAAATATTAATTTGAGTTACAGAAAATTCAAAAAGAAAATGTAGTGAGAATGTTTGAAAGCAAAAGGCTGATAAAAATATTTGGAGCTAAGAGAGTTGAAGAAACAAAGAATGGAGGAAGTGACTTATTGCTTTACCCAGTATTGTTAGGTTGACTGAATCAGGAAATATGAACTGGGCAGAGTGTGTAGCAGACATTGGATACAAATAAATATATAGAGAGCTCTGACTGAAAAGTCAGAAGTGAAAGGACCACGTGGCAGTCCTAAGCATGGAAAGATGAGATGGGAAGGACATGTACTGCATGAGACTAGCTCTACAGCTCTGGGATTAATGTGAGCAGTGCACAGTGGGTACTGACAATATACATATACTCCCCCAAATTTCCCCATCTTCAGTCACAAAGCTGAGTCCTGAACTGTAACACTTGGGAGACATGAGAAGTGTCTAGAAAATGTTTGGCGAAAAGCCTGAATGTAAGACTTTTTGGATTATGTAGGCACAGGTGGGAGGACAGTATTAAAATTAATTTTGTATGAGAGTGCTGACTGGATTTATTGGACTGAGAAAAGGTCCAGTTTCTTTAGAACATGGTACTGAACATTCAGGCTCTATAAATATGGGGAAAGTCTTCCTCAAGAAGGAAGTTGCTTGATGGAGCTTCATGGTGTTCAATCACAAGCAACTGTAACATTAATAAGTTTGCTCCCACAATTATAGTCACCTTGCAATAGAACACATCTTTTGTATTCTTAGAGAATAAGGAACATGACATATATGAGGCACCAAGTAAGTACTGTGATAGACACTGCTTAGAGTAAACCAAGTTCTTGTTAAGAACAGAGAGCATCCAGAAGATAGGGTTCATAAGAATTCTGAAGGAATGAAAGGGCAGAAATAAATTCCATTTCCAGATTTTAATGAAATTTTTTAAGACCTAAAAGTACATTTTTATTTCCTAGTTTTGTCTGAATCTAAGTAATTCAAACTTTACAGTAGTCTTCAGTGTGCAATGGTTTAAAATTTGCAGCCATGTTATTAAGATTTCAATAGGAAAGAACCAATTGAAGTCAACAGAAAATTGAGAATACTATTTCAGGTATCATATTTGATATATATAATTCCAGAGAAACACTCATTCAAACAATATGAATATAAAAATTTTAGTATAAAATTATGAGGAGGAAACAGTAAAATTTAGAAATTTATGGCTTGGTGATTGTAATGTAACATGTAAATCCATTGCTAAGCAATGTCTGCAACACACGGTCCAACATGTAACAGTGGAACAACGGGATTATGCAACCCACTCCTAGGCAGTGGCTTGGTAAACAAACTTCCATGCATGCACAATGATGTCACCCTAACAGTGCTTAGCTGTCATGTGACATGTTTTGTATAGGTCCATGCTGAAGGTTTATATGGGACAACAAAGGTCATTTGCGGGCATTCGTAAGCTGGAGGAGTGAGTAATAGATGGACTTCCCTCGAGTTCCAAAGTTCAAAGGGAACAGCAGTGTGGGTAGAAGGAGAAATAGAAGACTTAGCATGTGATGTTACATGTGCTATGATACAGAGTGATTCAGAAAGATGGACACAATTTCAATTGACTATATTTCCTGAACTGTATGTTGCATTTGAATTCTGTAAAGTACATTTGAAAGAGGATGTTACAAAGTTTCTAGTACTACCACTAGTGCCCTCCATCACTGCATCCCGGGCCGATCGCGTGTATCGGAGGAGAACGTGGAGTGCATTCGAGTGAACTTTGAGCGCAGCCCAATGAAGTCAACCCGTAGTGCTAGTAGAGAACTTGGACTATCGCAAACAACTGTGTGGCGTGTACCACCTCTTCCCACAAATTTGAATGACCTAAGAAACTGTATCACAGCTGCGGTGAACTCAGTGACGCAAGATATTTGTCATCGAGTGTAGGATGAATTCAGCTACCGTCTAGATGTTATCTGTGCAGCCTGAGGAGGGGGGGGGACATTGAACATCTATAAACTTCCATGTATGTATAATCAAGTGTAATTTACAGAATTCAATGCAACATATAATTCAGGAAATATAGCCAATTGAAATTGTGTCCATCTTTCTGAATCACCCTGTACATTGATATTGGGAGTGTGTAATTAGTGAGACTTTAATAGTTTGTGTATTATAAATCCATTTCCAGGAAATAAATAGTGAAGACTATCGGAAATAGACTGAGAAGGTTAGTGTGGAGTGATTGTAAATTGTGTAAATCAGCAAGAGCGTAATATTTGTAGTTATGACCTGTAGGTGGTTCATAAACCCAATTCAGACCCCATTTTTAGTCACTAATACATGTGACAGTATTTTGAGAATTGACAGCTCATAATACTTCTCTCATAATGCACTGCCTATCAGTAAGACTGTACTGTACTGTAATTGGGGATTCATTTATGAATATTCAGACTTTAACATCTGATTTATTCCAGAATAACTTATAAGCACTGTCTAACTAAGGAAGTGTTTGGAGAGGCTCTGCCACCATTTACTCTACACGTATGCTAATAAAATAATTCTTTGTCCAAGATATAATGATGTTGGTTGATGACATATGAAGAAATTAATATTCTGTACATGAAGATTAAAACTTACCTAAGCTTGGAATGTAAAGAATTCATAGTTTCCCATGAGGCTCATCTGTTACATTCTTGTTTATTTGCTATTACTGTTGAGGTGATGTGTTATTTCAGGTATGCCACAGTTGGTATCTTATTTTGTTGCTGAACTTCAATTTAATAGGAATATAGAACAGAATGTTTAACAAATTACTGTATTTTGGTTTCATATCAGAGCACTTGGACACAGTTTTACCACATTTGTCTGTATGGACAGCTTGTATTTTCCTGTTTAGAACATCACTTTCCATGTTACAATGTGCTAATTTGCCTTCTGTGATAAGTAATTATTGTAATATATCCAGTTTACAAATATTACAACACTAACAGAATGGTAACAGTATATGAAAACATAAGCTGCTTTTCTTTTAGAGTAGTTTAGAAAATTATTATGACATGTAAATTGGTTAACACTAAAATATTTGGTAAGTGTTAACATCCACATGATCCAAACATAAAGTTTCATTTTAACTTACATTTTAAAATTAACCTTGGACACATGAGACATTATCATATGCAGAAATTGTTACCTGTGCTTTTCATTTACCCCTGTATCACATGGATCTTCCATATCAGATTATATACTTACCATAAGCTTTCCTTGTTGTAACTGTATATGTGACACACAACACAACAGTGACATCTCCCATATATTTTCCGAAATTGTATAATTTAACTTTCTTTTTCTCCTCTTGCATCAGTTGCACAGTATTTCAAAAGTTTACATATATTTTAGGTAGGAGCAGCAGCCATCTAAATTNGGGAGTAATCTTTTGTTTCAGTTTGTCATTCCATTTTGTGAGTAATGGTAATATTTTGATGTGGGGTATGCAAAGTATAGTTAGTACTTATGACAAAATGCGACTTAGTTCGTGAAGCTCTTGAAGGTTTCATTCTCTTTCAAAATTTGCACATGGAAGGTGTCCATCTAGACCAGTTCAGTAAAATAATGTCATAGAAGCACATTATTAATGTAATATGCTATGCCCATTAGATGTTTCTGAATAGCAGTTATGTTGTAGTCAAAATATATATATATAAATCTCATCACCCTTTATTATAACATACCTCTAAATTTTACTGTTTCCTCTAAATAATTTTATTATAAGTTGTATTTGAATTTCTTCTAATGAGCAGTTGTTTTTTCTAGAATCAGATAGCCTATAGAAAATAGGATTCCTGTATTAATATTTTCAGTGTACCTTGGTTTCAGTGAGCAGTGCTTAACCTATGTCAGTGATATTGCTTGTAGAGGCTAACACACTGTAAATTAACTAGATGTATCATAGATTACCTTGCATGAATTTAGTGGCGGCTTGTAGCTAAAATTAGTGGGGGTGCTGCTCCAGAAGCGCACAGTTCCATACAAAGATTTGACTACTGACATTAAGCTTAAGGATTATATATTGTATTGTACAAGTATAAAGAAAGAATTAAACAAAAAATGACTCATTATATAAATGTTATCGATAATATCATGTGGAAATTAGGGGTGCTGCATTTCCGCAGTGCCTATACACGGGCCGCCCCTGCATGAATTGTTGTGTGTTTTCAGACATAACTTCCTTAGCAGACTACAGCCAATTTGATCATAATATAAATATATAAGATTATAATTTTATGTATTATTCCTGGTTATTGGGATTTTTCTACATAAAAAATCTGGTTTGTAAATTTTTGTATCTCTAGAAACTTATAATTGGTACTGAGTGTCCACTGACTGCACGTCATATGTTCATGTAGGCTGCAATTCCAAAAGCACAGTATGGAGGACGGCATGCTGTCACTATGCTGCCTGGGAGTGGTATTGGGCCAGAACTCATGAACTACGTGAAGGAGGTGTTCAGGTACAGGATGAAACATGTGAACCGTTCATAGAAACATCATGTGACCCACTGGCTGGTGGATATGTATATATTATGACAGTAATATAATTAATAAATATGACAATTTTGAATTTGGAAAAGTTCTTGCAAAACAACATGGATCTGAAACTCAGAACGCAGCTGTAATACAAGGCATCGTTACTTTCAGTTCACGCAGGTGCAAATTTGAGCTAGAACTAACTGTCCTGATTGAGCATTTTCTGGTGTTAGTGGAAAATATTGCAATGAGACCTTATAATGGGTCATTATGATTCCTCCCACATTCCTTCATAATGATCAGAATGATTATAGCATGTGACAAGTGTCAGGAATACTTTGATACATTTCCTAGTATACTACATAGTTAGATGCGACTAATGTTATAATAGGTCATTTTAACATAATTTTAAAATAATTGACCTACTTTACCAAGTGACACATACATGCAGCAAATTTAAATTGGTATGATCCAAGATTTTTTCCCAGCCAATGCCCTGGTATGAAAGAGGTGCTCATTTCAGATCTCAACCAGGGAACAGCTGTCTGTTATGAAGATTTATTCAGCCCCATAAAACGCTCTAGGACACTAAATTCACAATACTACTGTACCGAGCATTCAAATATCATTCATTACTCAATAATTCCTGCACTGGAAAATATTGCTAGTAATCTGAGAATCAATCAAGCGTGAACCTGAGACTTCTCTTTTATGCATGGACTGGTGGTAGGAAAACATACAACTTTTAAATGATATTTTGTAAAGCATTAAAGTGAATACATTGATCTGTGGGATATGAACAGTCTTTAAAAAATCATTCAGACAGCTTGAGCTTTGTTATGAAACTACTGATAAGACCATATATGAACAAATTATGATAAAAAATAACAACAGCTTTGTGTGCCAGCTGCCCATTACCCCCAAGAATATTCCTGGTACTCATTTCTGTTAGGGGCTGAGTCAACCCCAGGGCCATAGTGCAGCTGGAAGGATTAGTTAAATTGAAAAATCCACCTCATCGGGATTTGATCCTGCAACCTTCCGGCTTGTAATATAGTGCCTCAACCAACTATGCTGTCGCATGCCCTGACTATAATCTTATGCATCCCTTTATCTCTTTACACATACAGGATCTGGTCAAAAAATATTGAGACTGAATTAATACCTTAGATAGGTGCACTGTGCAGGAACATGGCTATAATTAACATGTCTTGGCATGATACTGCATGTCCAGGGATGTTTGTAGCTATTCTGTTGCTTCCGTTGCTCATGGCCAGCCTTTAAATTCAGAGTCTTTTTGTGTTTACTTATGTTGATGCAAGTAGCCTTTGAAGGTGAAACACTTTTTTTTTGCTTAGTGGGGGGTGGAGTCCAACTGGGTCCACTTGGCATGGCAGCCACTGATTGGCCTATTGCACCTGCTCTGGGTGATTATGATGATGGAGAATTTGGTGGAATGAAGATTGGCAGGGGAAACCAAAGTACTCTAAGACCCGGGGTCGAACCTGGGCCGCTGCAGTGGGAAGCCAGTGACTAACCGCTTGAGCTATGGCGTGGCTAAAGTGCAACAGTGAGCCAAGCATGAGTTCTCAGTGGGTTCATCAATTTAAGGAGGGGTGAATTTCCACCAGAAGGGCCAAGCATCATGGATGCCTTTCAGCGTGTAGACCCAGTGATTCAGAATCTCAATGCATTATTTAGTGCAGAGTGACAGAAGATTGCCTATTCATGAAATTGTTGAGGAAACAGGAATTTCTTGTGGCTAACATCAGGGTGTTTTAAGAAGGATTTGAAATGAAGTTGCAAAAATGAGAATCTGGCAAGTAGTAAATTCACAATGACAAATGCATTTTCACGCTCTTTCCAACATCTACAGCAGTTTTTAATAACAGTATGCACAAATGAGGTAGCCTCCCTTCTTACCAGATATGGCTCCTTGTGACATTTCCCGTGTCCTAAACTTAAAAAGACATTGAAAGGCAAGAAATCTGATGTAGAAACAAACTGAACACAATTGAGCAGCTGTTAGTGAATCTGAAAACTGTGCTTGAGAGGTGCGCCCAGTACTCACAGGAATGATGGCATGAGTTTGAGTATGCTGAAGGAGAAACCTCTTATTTCTGTAAATATAGTACCTTAAGATTACTGTCTTCTTTGGTATGATGCTGTTCAGTCTGGTAGAATGACATCAACATTTTGGAGGAACCTGCTGCATCCATCTTCAGAATACAAGATTGGAGAACTTTACCCTGAAGATGGAGGCAGGACATTCCTCCAGAACATTGGAATATTCTACTATACCATATAATGTGTTGCATATGTGGAAGTGGAGGTGGGTGCACTGATGTAGTTGTGTGATGGTCATGTGTATTCCGTAGTTACAGAGTACAGCCAGAAGGCATTTTAAATATTCTTTTGAAGCTGTGGACTGGCTCACAGCATGTACCCAGCCCAGCAAGTAGACTAATAAATTGCAGTGTGGTCTTCCACTCTCCACCCTCCCCTCCACCACATGTTAGTTGATGAGAACCCTGATTGTCTGTGGTATAAGGCTTGGGCTGGCAAACCAGGAATGATTCAAAGGTGAAGGTCTAACAGACAGAGTTCACCTCATAGCTTAAGAGAGAAAAGAAGAGAGGACTGTGAGTGAGGTGGGGCTACTGTACTTTTAGGCAGAATACTTATAGTACCTGTATATTTCATTAAGTATTCTTTATTTTCGTAATAAAATGCTGTTCTATGTAACCTTTCTGTTGTCATCTGTTAGTTTAACCCTACCATACATCAGATCTGCTTACTGCTCGGCAAACCTGAGTATCCTTGAAATACTAGTATACAACAGATGTTACACCAAAGAAGACAGCAGTGTTCATAACAACCTCAAATCATGCTATAGTTTCTTAGTTTTCACAGATTCAGTCTTGATGCTTTCAAACCAATCTGTAATAAATACATCTGAATGGAATGCTTAATACTGTTGAGAATATTTGTTTTCCCATCTGCTGCTGAACAACATAAAGATAAAACATACACAACTAAGTTTGCCTTTTGGTTGGTATGGGTGTGAAACTTTGTCTCTGAGGATAAGGTGCTGACGTTGTTTGGACCTAAAAGTGAGTCAAAAACAGGAAGCAAAAGAAAATTGGATGAGGAAGCATGAAGATTTTCCAAACCACAAATATTAGGTGATCAAATCAAGGAAGGTGAAGTAGGAAGGCATGTAGCATGCACAAGGCAGATGAAAAATGCATGCAAATTTTTTTATTGAAAAACTGATGAGAAGAGGCCAATTAGAAGACGTGAGCACATACGGTAAAAATCAAAATCAAACCACTGGCTTAGGAGGCTGAGTGAGCCCCAGAGGTGGTCTGGACATTGTGGAAAATAGAAGAATTTCTTGCCCTTTACCAGGAGTTAAACCTTGGCCATCCAGCCTATAGTCTGTTACTATACCAATTGAGCTATTCTAGCTCTCCTGAGCATGTATGGGTGGATAATATTGAAAAGTATCTTAGGTGTAGTGGTTGGAAAGGTGTGGACTGGATTTGTATGCCTCAGAATAGCGTGCATTGACTGGCTCTTGTGAACAAGGTAATGAGCCAATAACCAGCCAAGAGATTGTTAGCTTCTCAAAGATTCTTCTCCATAGAGTCAGATACTGTACAGTGTGTGTCAAAATATGCAGTACTCAAATGAAAAGACGTCCTGTTGATACCACTGTCTATTCATGTGAAGGCCCCTTGCACAACAGAACCTTCTCAAATCCTGAAGAAATATTCCGATCACCATGTACCTGTAGCATTCTAGGGTGACGGTTAGAGCATTGCCTTCCTCATCCTCAATGAAATAGGGGCCTAATATACCATGTGCTGAGATGGCACACCATATCATCACACATGTACTATGTAGCTGTTTCTGGACGATAACATCTGGCCGCTCAAGACCAAGGAAGCGAGTTGTCCGGCGACCACTTCCATATGAGCGGAAATAATACTCAACTATGAATACTTTTTCCTCTGTCGAGAGACCCTTTTCCAACAACTGCACAACACAACTTCCTTTTCACTACTGGGAACATGTGCAGCTGGAGCTATGCCCCCTTGACAAACGCACATGCACGTTCGAAATGCGCGAGTTTCAGTACTGCATCTTTTGGCACATACTGTATTTGTAGTTAATGAACTTAACCTGCAATAATATAACATGGAAGTTCTGAACCCAAATGATGCTATACCATTTCCACCCAATTCCTGCTCTCAGAGACCATTTCCTTATGATTAATCATAATATTATGGGTTCAAGTCTCGATGAGGTCATTGGATTTCTTTTTTCAATTGACCTAATCCTTCCAGCTGCACTATAGCCCTGAGGTCAACTCAGTCTCTAACAGAAATGAATACCAGGAATATTCTTGGAATATTCTTAGGGGTAAAGGGTGGCCGGGGCATAGGGCTGACAACCTTGCCGCCATCTATGAGCCGATTGTCTAGAAGATGTGGAAATCTCAACATCTTACAACTCTATGGGCCTCCATGGCCTGTTACAGGGATACCTTTACTTTTTTACTTTACTTAATGCTCTGATGGGAGCTGGGATAGTGCAGTCAGCATAGTGGCTGGTTATGGGCTGGACAACTGAGGGGCCAGAGTTTGAGTCCCGGTAGGGTCAAGAATTTTCTCTACGTCATCCAGACCAGCTTTTGGGCCCACCCAGCCTCCTATGCAACGGGTACCAAGTGCTCTTTCTCTGGGGTAAAGCAGCTGGGGCGTGAAGCTGACCACTCACCTCCAACTAGTACCATGTTCAAGAAAACGTGGATCTGTACATCCACTCCTCCATACATATTCATGGCATAGAAGCCAGCACAGGGACTTTACCATTTTACTGTCCTCATGTATTTTACTTCTGATGCATTTTCAAAATTATTTATTGGCTAAGAAGACCTAAACGTTTGTGATGATGGTACATTAATACAAACATGTTTCTGAACAGTATCCATCATTCTGGTTTTATTTAAAGGCACAGTGTTTTGGAGACTGGATTCTGTCTCCATCTTCAGGTAAAACCTACTGAGTTGAGCAAAATTGATAGAGCCAATCCCTATCTCCAAACTAAGAGAGAAACAGGACAGTGGATTATATCCAGAAATATAATTTTTGTATTCATTGGCTGTTACAGCAATAACAGATCAGAAACTCCGGGGTGTGGGGTGGGGGTCCTGATGGCACTTCAACTCAAGTAGTAGATCATGGTGGTAGATTATTCTGACCCTCATGATCTGTGTACATGTTAGGTTTTTTCAACTTTAATAAAAATGTACTGGAAGAAGTTTTCATCTTTATCTTCATCTCTTTCATTATCATCCTCTCCATGGATTAGGCCATGCTTGGCATGCTCTGTCCTCTTGACGAGTGTGTTGGTCTCTCCTTAAATATGGGCACTCTGTGTATAATTATCTTGTTGGGCTGAATGTTAAAATTCTCTTTAGAATTCATTTCTTTCCAATTTGTAGAATGATATTTCCACTGTGGTCTGGATTTTAGAAGTTTATTATTTAGATTTAAAATATTCAGTTTTTTCCGTAATTTTAGTATTTCTTATTTGTCTCTTACCTATATAGCCTACTACACTCCTCAAAATTTTCATTTTATCTTCTTCTGGTCAAAATTGGGCCAATAAATGACCTGTGTCTGTGTTGGGGCCGAACCAAAGTGCACTAATTTCTCTGTAATAGGTGCATGTTGAGCTCTTCTGAAATATATTCAGTTTGTTTATGGTCTAATGAGCTGCACCCTGTTGTGTTGGCATGAATTGCATCTCTGCTGTATTTTTGTTGGAATTATAAGTGAACAGCTCAAACTGATTTCATGAAACATTTATTTCATATAGCCAACTGTTATTACTTACTTACTTACTCATGGAGCTGAGCCCTTCTGGAGGAGCCGCCAATTCTGCAGCTACTGAAAAATTTCCCAGCGTTTTATGGAACCCGATTATACAACTTAATAGTGAATTCAGGTCACAGGTTGTATATTTCATGGCATAGTTAGGTTTCACTTAATTTCTGTTATTCCCTTTGTTATAATGTTTAATATTCATCATCATCATCATCACACTTCCAAACATTATACATATTCAGCCAATTACAGGTGTTCCAACTCATAATTGTTATACCATTTTAGACATTTTCATAAGATACTTCTTCCACAAAGTTGATATTTTTATAATGATTAATAATATACTGTCCTAATTTAGTGACCAGTCAAGGGGTTTGGATTGCTAATAGGATTTACTGGACTTTTATAACTTGTAACTACAGGTAACTATGTATAACAGTTTCACTAGTCTACACGCTCTACAAATCGCTGTACTGTGGCAGATGTAAAGTCTTCTTCATCTTCTTCAGTTGTTGCCTAGTAACAGTTCCCAACAATGGATACTCCTCTGCTTCTGCACTCATGTCTTTACCAACTGGCAACTGCCTAGCAACTCTTAATGGCTGCAATGAGCTCATGACAGCAACTAAGTTGTAGGATGAGTATTCCATATATAACTTTGTCGTGGACCACACAGAAAACACCATTTCCAAAAATTCCTCTACTGTTGCATCATGTGTTCATTTTAGCAGAAATTTATTTATTGAGCCATTGCCTGGTAACAGCTATAGCTTCCAGTTCTGCTAGTCCACGTTTCAGATGTCATGTCATAGTATATTCAGATTTAATTTTTAGTGTTTTATGGGAAAATTGAATAAGTATGATTTAGTATTTCTAATAAAACAGCTTTCTATTGATACATTTGTTTTTAAAATATATGCTTGTGTGGAGATTCCTTACCAACAAGATAAAATATAATGTACAATAGATCATTGAAGGTCATGGTGCAAGTGCCAGTCTAGGCCTATCTCATATGCAAAATAACATATAAGTGCATTGTATTAAACTACAGAAAAAGCCATGTTGTTTACAATAATATTATTAGTACTGCTTTCGCACTAATGTCAGGAAATTTTAACATGAAGATGGAAGTATAAATAGGTGAGAGATTTTCTTCTCCACAAGCGTGCTTCTCCACTAACATTTCAGTAACTTGCAGCTTGTTCATACATATGAGTAATAAATCATGTTTCACAATAGTTACCAATAAATAAATTTTCTGTTTTTTGTATGTTTGTGTTTTGGAAAATAGACAAGATAAAAGTATATGCAGTGAACAATAACCATTTTCTGTGCTTGTTCTTTTAATCTTATGTGTTTATTTCTGTCATTTGTTGTGCTCTCATCTGTCAGCACATATACTAAGTTACTTACAGACCTCTAATGACCTGCATATCTTTGTTAGATATGCTGGTGTTCCTGTTGATTTTGAAGAAGTTCAGATGGATCCAAAAAGTGAAAGCAATGAAGATTTGGAATATGCACTCACATCAATCAGGAGGAATGGAGTTGCTCTTAAAGGTAATCTTGTAATCAGAGGTTCTTACAGCAGTGGCTATGAAGAGTTCTGTTATCTAGTCTGTAACATCCTGTAGTCTGGTGAAAGTCAATGAGTGCTTGAGAAGAATTATCACCTCCATCTTCAGGGTCAAAGAGTAAGCAAAGCAAAAAGCCACTGTGAAGCAAACCCTCAGAGCAACTGTGCTTACACAGAACAACACAGGAACAGATCATTTATTGGCTTCACTCTTTGACCAGAAGAAGACTTCCATTACATTTTAAAGCTAAAAAAGAAATGCCTGACATGTATACAGATTACAAGGGTCAGAATAATCAACTACTAGGATCCCCTGTAGCACAGTCACTTCTGTCATACTGATGTAAAAAGGTAAGGGTCTTAGTTCAAACACTGTCACGATCCTCCTAAACTTTCTGAGTTGTTATTGCTGCAGTAGCTAATAAATTATCCTGAGAATTCATCAGAAAGATAACTAATGAAAATGAGGTCACAATGAAATCCAAGAAATACTGGTTATGATCTCAAAAGCACTAATGCAATCAGCAAGCAAGGCAGCTTAATCTGCTGCTAGCTTCATGGTGGTTTCTTTGACCCTGATGATGGAGGCAGTATGCTCCTCTGAAGCATCAGTTGACTTTCACCAGATGACATGGCATTATACTCTTCAGTCTGAAGTCTGCTGCAATCTGGCTTTTAGGATAGTTGCAGGCTCTTTTAAAATGTTCAGCATAAAAGTTTGTCTCATCTATTCTCAGATGTAAATTGAAGGAATATTGAATTATATATTCTTAGTTAATTTAGGCCCTCTGGTAATGTGGCATCAGCCAGCATGCTCTACACAATCATTTCGTGCATGGATTTTATTAAATCTCAATGTTGAATTCTATTTAACTGTGTCATTGTAAGAAAATTAAATATTTGGCCATCTTGTAAAGTAATCCATTGATAAATTTCATGAAAATTTGTTTAACCAGAGTGAAGCTTCCTCATTTATACACACAAAAACCGTCAAAGACACCTTACTCCAAATTATAAATTTGAAGTGGACACAGGTTTTATAAATTTCATAAACATTCTTTAGTTTGTCAGCACAAAGTTACTGCATGTGCAAATCCATGGTGTCAGTACTTAACTTGACAGAGAGAGCAGGATAAGACTACAAATCCAACCAGTACAACTTGTAGTTCCAAACATACATACTCAAGACACTGGCTGCTGTTAAGAGAATAACATCCTATGGGCCTCCAGTTTTGAATACAAAGATATAAATATATAAACAGATACTTTAGCTGCATCATCATCATCATCATCATAATTGTCACAGAAATATTTGTAATTTCCATATGAGTGTAAAGAGTGATACAGCAGTACTGTTCTATATGGATTTGTTTATGATATCTATTTGCCAAATTTTAAAATGTTTTATCATGTATAAGTGTTGATGCTATCCTTCATTGCTATTGATGATTGTGTAGAAAGATCAAAGATGTTTACAATTTTTTTTAGGGAATATTGAGACTGGAAGTATGAGTCGAGGAGTACTGTCAAGAAATGTTGCACTGCGTAATGAGTTAGACCTCTATATTAATGTACTTCACTGCAAGTCATACCCAGGTGTGACAGCCAGACAGAAGGATATTGATATCATCATTGTGCGGCAGAATACAGAGGGAGAGTATGCCATGTTGGAACATGAAGTGAGTGCTTTTCTTTGATAGCACATTATATTTCAAATGCAAAACATTTATAGTTAGCTAGTACTGACAGCCAGTAAGTTCACAGAAGATGCAAAATTGTAAAGATATTTAAGTTTTAGTTTAGTTAATAAAGTGAGGAAACTTTATTCATGGCAGTGGGAAGAGTACTCTGAGGAAGGCCAGAAAACAGTATAGGCAAGATTCTTATGATTGAGTTTTAAGAAAATGAGTAAACAGATCCAATTAGCTATTAGCTATTAGCCACATTAATGTTAAGGGGTTTAACTAAAGAGTATTATCCCATGCATATGGCGCTTGAAAACTTCAACGTAACTTTGACTAGTGAGCTCATTAAATCTAAGCTATTGCAAGACACTGAATTTGGTAAAAATGCAAATTCAGATTCAGCCTTTCTGTCCACAGATAAGTTTAAACGTAAACCACCAAAATGTCAAATTTGTGGTAAGCTAGGCCATATAAATAAAAACGGTTGGTTCAAAGATAAAGAGAAGGCGAACAATAATAATCATAACAATCAGCATAAGCAAAAATTTAAGAGCAATCAGTCTTCTAAATCAGTTCATAGTACTGATGAAAATAAAGAAGGATCCGATCATAGGTGTAATGAAAATAAATGGAAAAATAAGACCACTAAAAGATCCATGTATATGGTATCTGCCCATCATGTTAAAGTTAAGGATGATACTTGGGTAATAGACTCTGGTGCTTCACACCATATGACTGGAAATAAGACTATTTTGCAAAATTATAAAACACATGATTCTAAAGAACATGAAATAACCCTTGCTGATGATAACATGTTAACCAGTGCAGGTTTTGGTGATGTAAAACTTATGAATGACAATTATATCCATATCTCAGAAGTATTGCATGTACCGGGATTGTCTACAAATTTGTTGTCTCTAAAGTCAGTTGTAAATAAGGGTACAATTGTGTTATTCACCAAAGACTGTTGCAACTTATATGATTCTGATGATTTTGAGGTAAGAGGCAAAGTTCTTGCCAGAGCATATCCCGAAAATGGGATATATTGTATTGTAGCATGTACGACTCATTGCTAAGTAATGACTCGTCAAACAACAGCCATTGCTAGGTAATGGCTGCAACAGATTCCTAACATGCACCAATGGACTAAGTGGGAAGTGGTGTTCTCTACACTGTCCATGCAACAGCTACATGACACAACAATAGAAGAGTTGTTGGTAGAGGCATTATAAGCAGGACAAGTATAGGGTTTAGTTAGTTCTGCCAACAGTCACTGGCCAGTTAAAGACATGAATCTAGAAGTTGAGGGATCTCCAGTGTTAGAAGCCATTACCAGATGACTGGCGAAGCCTTAATACATGCTGTAGTGAATTGTAGAGTGTTTGATTAGTGATAGCACTATAGCTACTTGTAGTTACGATCTGTAAGTGTTCAGTAAATCCAATTACCAATCCACACCCAGTCTCTCTATCATATGACGGTATTTAAAATGGGATAATCAGAAAGAGAGACATTTAAATGTTGAAAGGTTTAGATCATTTGGGAAAATGAAAGCCTGGCACTTATTAAAGCTCTTGGGCCATACTTTGTTATTTGTTCATTGTTATATGGTAGATTAATTTTGGAAAATTGTATTTAAGTATTTTCCTTTGAAGATTATATTGCTAGTTACTTCTCAGTTTGTTTCAGAAAGTTTGCCACCACTAGATCCGTTGCATAATTAAATTGTAATTCCCTTTGAAGATTAAGTCTTCACTAATATCTCAGCTAAGTAGCTTGAAATGTTATTTCCCAGTGTACTAGTGGACCACCTGTTCACTGTCAGTGTTGATAGTGAATGGACAGTACTGCAAAACTGTTATTTTTATTAACATTGACATGGGAAATTTGGCATTCTTGATAATGACCAGGCATTCATTATACTTTATGAGACTTAGAGTCATTGTTAACAGTACTCTGTCAGTGTCAACAATGTCAGAGTTTAGTCTTTGACCATAACACAAAAGCAAACACAAATTACCATCAAAACCTAATTTAGATTCACTGATGAACCTTCTGATTCACTTCAGTTTCAGTAATAGAACATGTATCTCTTATCTGTAACAGAATAAGAATACTTTTCTTTCATTTCAAAATCTGTTACCTTTCTGTCTACTTCCCAAAATCCAAAGATTAAAATTCAAGACAGCTGATTACCAGTTTTGTGTGTTTGGTATTATCTCATACTTAGAGTAAGAAACATCAGTTATAGGTAAGTTTTGAGGTTTTCACGGCGATGACAATGAAGAAAGTCGTCTTCTGGGTTTAGGCACCGTGTATTCTTCGTTTTGGCCGACGTTTCGGAGGAACGTAGCGCCTCCATCTTCAGAGCAGTTGAATGGCTTGGAATGCGGAGAGCAGTAGCTGTGGCTACTGTAGCTACTGCTCTCCGCATTCCAAGCCATTCAACTGCTCTGAAGATGGAGGCGCTACGTTCCTCCGAAACGTCGGCCAAAACGAAGAATACACGGTGCCTAAACCCAGAAGACGACTTTCTTCATCAGTTATAGGTCTTTGCAAATAAAATGTGCAAAAAAAGATGTGGACCCAAGAGGAGTTAAGTAATTGTGCAATGGTGATTAGTATACAAGCAGGAACTCCATTATGTATACTTGTTTATTGTTAGTGTAATATGATGTGGGAAATTATAACAGCTGGACAAGTAACTTAAATAGGAAGGCAAAAAATTTGGTGGGTAAGTCTCTTGTGTAGGCATAGCAGCCACTTGGAAAACTGAGGAAGGGGAGAAGGACAAGTTTAAGATGGATCTAAGTGACATGGTTATGAGGATGGGAGAGGGGTGGCACAGACTCAGGACCATGTCCTGTGGCTGACTTTGATACTAGTCATATTGAACCTTGGGGTTCTGTTACCATCATTCACTCACTCATGGAGCTGAGCCCTTCTTATGAAGCCACCAATTGTGCAGCTACTTAAGAACTTCCCAGCATTTTATGCAACCCAAAAGTTCAGTACTGTGTTCTCAAGAGCCTTCCACTGGTCCCTCTCCTGAGCCATATCATCCCATCCTGTTTCTCTAATATCCATTTTAATATTTTCTGTCCACTTATGCCTTGGTCTTCCTAGTGGTATCTTTCCTTCTGGCTTTCCCACCAATATCCTATATGCATTACTTCTCCCCCATTCATGCTATATGCCCTGCCCATCTCAACCTCCATAACTTGATCATTTTAATCATACATGGTGAAGAGTACAAGTTACAAAGTTCCTCATTATGTTGTTTTCTCCAGCCTCCCATTACTTCATCTCTCCTTGGTCCAAATATTCTCCTCAATACCCTGTTCTTAAACACCCTCAGTCTGTGTTCCTCCCTTAATGTCAGAGACCAAGTTTCACACTCATACAGAACTACAGGCAAAATGAGTTTTGTGTATATTCTGATTTTTATGTTTTTAGACAGAAGACGAAAAGGTAAAAGCACTGCTTGAATTCAGTCTCCTCTTACTTTCCTCCTGAATCAGGTTTTGATTTGTTATGGTCATTCCCAAATATCTGAACTTTGCCACATTTTCAAAACATCTGTTTCCTATCTTTATGTCATGATTTTGCCCTGCACTTTGGTGACGAGACAGTAACATATACTTAGTTTTCTCTGTGTTTACTTCTACCAACTTCCTTACTAGCATCAATTAAAGTTTTTATGTTTTTCCTTATGGAATCTATATTATCACCCAGCAGATTTACATCATCAGCATAGACCAAGAGCTGATGTGTCCCATTTAATTTCAGTCCCACCTGGTTTTCCTGGATCTTCCTAATGGCATATTCCAAAACGAAGTTGAAAAGCAGTGACAATAAAACATCTCATTGTTTTAGATCATTCTGGATATGAAAGTTATCAGACAAATGTATACCTATGAGGACTTTACTGTATGTTCCATTTAAACACATTTCAGTCAGCCTAACTAGTTTCATGGATATCCCAGACTCTATGAGAATATTGTGAAATACTTCCCTCCTAACTGAATTATAGGCCTTCTTGAAGTCTATAAATGGCTGATGTACTGTCTCACTGTACTCCCATTTTTTCTCCAGTATCTGATGAATGCAAAAGATCTGATCCATAGTTAATCTGATGATACACAATAATTTCATCTATGTATGGACTTAACCTTGAGAGAAGAATATTGGATAGAATTTTGTGTGAAGTTGATAGCTGTGATATTCCTTGATAATTACTACAGTCAGTTTTATCACCCTTCTTGTGAACTGGTACAATAATAGACTCCTTCCACTGATCAGGCAACTTTTCCTTATTCCAAACAGAATTAATTAGCTTATGGATCTTTCCTCTCCCTTTGCTTCCACTTTGAGCATAGGGCTGATTTCTCAGTTTCATGATCATTTTACAGATGATAGGACTCCTTGGATTGATGATCAGCTTGTCACAGTGACTCTACCTAAACATAAGACAACACAAACAGAATAAACCCATAAACACACCAAACATCCATGCCTTGTGTGGGATTCGAACCCATGATCCCGGCTTCTGAGCGAGCGAAGACAGTATATGCCTTAGATCACTCAGCTACCATGACTGGCTTATGGATCTTAGGATGTAATATTTAATCTCCTGCTTCAATCAGTTCTGCCAGAATTTGATCACTAACTGGTNCACGCCGAACCCCCCCAGACGATTTAAATCCCTGACGAACCATACACGACGAACCACGGCAACGGGTTAAGTGGGTTAGGATCGGGTACTATCAGCTCAGCTGTATGTATTTATATCTGCCTAACATCACTAACTCTATGTAAGTTCAATAACTGAGAGAAGTAGTTCTTCCACCTATTTAAAATGCTGTGGGAATCTGCAAGCAAATCACCATTCTCATCCTTCACTAAGTTACTTCTAGGTTGGTAACCCTGCTTAAAGTCATTTATTCCTCTATATGGGTCTCTAATATTCTTGTTGTTACTGTTCATTGTAAGCTCATCAATTTTGTCTTTCAGGTATTCCCCATTTGTATTGCTTGGATCCTGCAACCACTGCAATCTGGCTTGTTTCCTTTGGTCTAATAACTAATAACTTTGAGCATCTTTCATTGAACCATGGCTTATGCTTCTTCGATTCATAACAACCTACACTCTCTTTATGCAGAAATTTTTATATTCTCTCTAATAGTTCCCCAAGCTCAACTAATATCCAACTCAGTGTCTAAATTTTCAAAAGCTGTGAACCTATTTGAGATTTCAACACAGTACTGCTCTTTACCCTTTATGTCGTTTAATTTCTTGAGATTGAACCTCTCCATATGAACTCTATATGTTATTTGTTTATTCATTGCCAGCCTCTTCTTAACTTTTGCCACCTCCAGATAGTGGTCAGTATCACAGTTTGCTGCCCTGAACGATTGGACATCAAGTATACTTGAATACCTTCTCCTCTCTACCAAAACATGGTCAATTTGGTTGTGCATCTTTCCATTAGGAGATGCCCAAGTAAATTTATTAATGTTACGATGTGGGGACATCATACTTTTGACAATAAAATTTTTGGATGTGGCAAAGTTTACTACTCTAACTCCATTATGATTACTAATTTCATGTAAACTCCCATTCCCAATTGTTGGTTTGGAATATTTGAAAGGTTTAAGGGAAAGTTAAATGCTATGTGAATACTCCCATTACATTTTAAACAATATAGACATAAAATATATAATTTTACCCTCTGCTGCCAAAAATGTTGCTGTAGTAATGTACTACTTGTCATGTATTTCAGAGTGTCAGTGGTGTTGTGGAAAGCATGAAGGTTGTCACATCAGAGAACTCAGAACGTGTTGCTCGTTACGCTTTTGAGTATGCCAAAAAGAATGGCCGCAAGAAGGTGACAACTATCCATAAGGCAAACATTATGTAAGATTTTCAAATTACCAGTAAAAGTAAAAAAAGTAAAGCTATCCCTCTACCAGGCTGTGAAGACCCATAGGGTTGTGAGACGTTGAGGGTCCCACACTATCTAGACAATCGGCTCAAAGATGGCGGTAAGGTTGTCAGCCTTGCATGCCGGCTGCACTTTACTCCCCAGGAAAATTATTTAATTAATTCCTGGTACTCATTTATGTTAGAGTCTGAGTAAACCCCAGGGCCTAGTGCAGCTGGAAGGATTAGGTCAACTGAAAAAATCCAATGACCTCATCAGGACGTGAACCCACGACCTTCCAGCTTGTAGCATAGTGTCCCAACCACTACGGTACCACGTGCCCCCCTTCAGATTACGAGTATGTATAATAATTTTCCTGGTAAGACAACATTCACACCAGGTGGCTCGGTGCCTGCACTAGCTGACCCTTTTGCAGCAATACACATTCTTTAAACATAACATAACATGCTGTCTGTTACATGCTGTCACTTTACAGTTTTTATCCTACAGTGTTGAGAAGGCCCATAACATTAGGAATGAAGAATTTGATGTTTAGTTTCATTGGTGAAGAAATGAGTTCAATGTCGGTTATGTTGAAGTATTTATGTGATTCCTTTGTGATCCTACAAGCAGATAAGCCAACACTATAAACAAATTTCAACATAATTTCAATATTCTGAAGAAAAATATGAATGCTTCTATCCTATTTTATGCTGATATAAAATCTCCTTACTTTGGTACCAAGGAACTGAAAGAATAATATAATTTGAAGTTAAGTCATTCCCAGTATAGGAGGATGTTGATTTGTATGCTTTAATGGGTTAATTTAAAATGTGATTAATTCATAGTCTGAATTAATTGTTTGGTTCTGCAGTAGCATTTTTATTCAAAATTGGTATGTAGTGTAGACAGTTTGTGTACATACTAGGAATATCAAATGAAAAAGGTACTTCGAAAAACATAACTTTCATTTCGTGTATCCTGTTGTGTTATTATATGCAGTTCTTTAATAGAGTCCATCACAACACAACAATCTATATTCCCCACAGAACGAACAAAATAAATTGTAAGATGAGGCACCGGCTAAACAATTAATGTCAAAACTATACTACACCTATACCATGGGCCTCCAAGCAGTTTATTACATGTATATCAGTCTAGAATATATCATATGTCCGCAGGAGTATAGCAAATTGCAACAACTGACTTGATGATATGGAATATCACATGAAAAGTTTTAACCTTATTTTATGCCGTAATTTTAATTTGATAAGTTTATAGTTCATTGCATTTTTTACCATGTATTTTATAATGTAATAATTATCAGTATCCAGCTTCACTATCGCAATTGCAGTTCAGTGGTGTGTGAATATGGTAATCATGTGTTTGCCTGATGATGGCTTTAATAGCCGAAACATGTAGCTAAGCTAATTTTAGCCTTGAATATTGTATTGTCATGTTGTGACAGATGCTAATGAAGAATTGTATGGAAAAACATAATTAAAAGCAGCAAACTGGGGCTTGTCATCCCTGAAACATGTCTTATTAATCTGAAAAATGCTGGAATTTGGGCTGGCAGCCAGCATATCATCCTCACTCTCAATAAGTTTCAGATGGTACCATCTGCTACTTGCCACTCATGGTGATACCCAGCTTGTGATGTCTGTAGTGAAAATTTGATTCTCACTCACTCATGAACCTGAGCCCTTCTTGAGAAGCTGCCAGTTGAGCAGGTACTCAAGAACTTCTCAGCATTTTATGGAACCCGAAAGTTCATTACTATGTTCACAAGAGCCCTCCACCGGTCTCTATCCTGAGCCAGATCAATCCCATCTATACCATCCCATCATATCTCTCTTAAGACCCATGTTAATATTACTCACCCACCTATGCCTTGGTCTTCACAGTGGTCTCTCACCTTCTGCCTTTCCCACCAATATTCTATATGCATTCCTCTTCTCCCCCCATTCATTCTACATGTCCTGCCTATCTCCTCCTCCTTGACTTTATCATTCTAATTATATGAGGAGCGTTCCATATATAGTGCCTCCTATTTTTTTGAATGAAAACTACAACAGATACAGAAAGCATAATAATGCAGTTAAATAGAGCAAGATTTCAGCTACTTACAGTTATTTTTCCACATAATCACCACCATTCGTTATGCACTTTTGCCAGCAATGAACAAGAGCCTGTATGCCGTGCCTGTAAAAGTCTGCGCCAGCAGAGGCTAGCCACTTTCTTACAGCTGCAATGACAGAGTCATTGTCTGGAAACTGTTGCCCACATAGTCCATCTTTCATAGTCCCAAAGAAATGGAAGTCTGAAGGTGCTAAATTGGGGCTATAAGGTGGATGTGGTAGGACAGTCCAGCCAAACTTTACAATGTGCACGGTGGTCGGCACACTGGTATGGGGTCTAGTGTTATCATGTTGCAAGTGAAAGGTTGTCTGCTTCTCTGGCCTGACTCGGGAAATGCGGGCTTTCAGCTTAGTCAGGGTCATCTTGTAGCGTTCAGAATTGACAGTCTCACCAGGCTCCAGGAAATCCAACAAAATCACACCCTGCCTATCCCAAAAGGCTGTGCACATCACTTTCCCTGCCAATGGCTGTGTTTTGAACTTCTTTTTTCTTGGGGAATCCAGATGTCACCACTCCATGGACTGTCTTTTGGATTCCGGCTTGTAGTGGTGACACCACGTCTCATCTCCTGTGACGATGCTGTCCAGAAAGTTGTCACCTGCAGCCTCAAACTGGTGCAGCAGGTCCTGACAGACCTCCATTCGATGAGTTCTGTGGTCCTGTGTAAACATCCGCGGAACCCACCCGGAACAAACTTTGCGATAATCCAGCTTCCCCAACATCGTTTCCAATGCATTACAGCCAATATTAAGCTGTGCACACAGTTCCCTGGTCGTTATCCACTGATCTGTATGGATGAGCTGATTGAGGCGTTGTTCATTGTGAGGAGTGGCAGCTGAGCAGGGACGCCCAGCGCGTGGCTTGTCATGCACTTCACTTTTGCCACTGTTGAAACGCACTACCCACCGCCTCACTGCGCTGACATCCACTGTATTGTCTCCGTACACCTTCAGCAAGCATCAATGGATGTCAGTGGGTGCAATTTGTTCGGCAGTGAGAAATTCAATAACACATCTCTGTTTTGTATGCCCTTCTATGTCAGATGCCATTTTGGTAGACTGCTCTGCTGTCGTTATCTGTCGCATGACAACCGAACTAAGGAAGGTTCAACCTTTACTATAACACCACCAACATCCCGCTCAGACATTACATATTAACACAAAAAATAGGAGGCATTTTATATGGAACACCCTTCGTACTTGGAGATTATGCAAGTTATGAGGAAATCTGAGTCTAAAGTGCTTAATTCATTCATCCAAAATAATGAGGTTTACATGTGCTTAATTTCAGGAAGCTGTCTGACGGTCTGTTCCTGGAGACATCACGCAAGATAGCAAGTGATTATCCTGATATTGAACATAATGACATGATCATCGATAACTGCTGCATGCAGCTTGTTTCAAAACCACACCAGTTTGATGTGATGATCATGACAAACCTGTATGGTACTATTGTGTCTAATGTCGTATGTGGTCTTGTAGGGGGCGCTGGTCTTCTGTCTGGAAAAAATTATGGTGATCATGTGAGTTGAAATTAAATATTCACTTAGCAAGAACAGTATTGTAATCATTCTTTGTTCTGACATAGTCAAGCACATTTCAGTAACATATTTATTTGAATTCAAAGAACATCTAAATTCATAGTCTTCTTCACATTCTCTTCTTTAGGCCATGGCCCCATTTTCCCTAGCATATGAATGATCCCACCATCTTTTGTGCAGTATTTCTACATGTTTTTTTACCATTGGGGGCATGATTTCATCATTATCTACTCAGAGGGGCACTGAGTTCTCAGGAATTATTTAAAATGTAGTTGAATTGGTGCACAGTTTTGGCGCGTAAGTTAGAATGAATGTAGGTGGTTTCTGAAAACATATCCAAAGCTGGAAAGATATTTCACGAAATTTTTGTGACTGTAGGGGACCATTTATATGTAAGTAGAGGTGTAGTAAAGAAGTCCTAAAGCTATTTAGATGCATGCTGTCACCACACAGCCTGATATGGCCCTACACTAATGTGTAGAAGTGCATTTTTCACTGACCAGCAGAATTACCGGGGAGGGAATCATGAAAATTTATGTATTGTTTTAGAGGGTTTCGATATCACAAAATTTGGGAACCCTTGCATTAGGGCAACTGTCCCTTGTGATACACCTGTGTTGCGCATCTTTTTGTGTTTACAGTTGCACTAAACAGAAGTATTGTCATGCATAGGGCAGTATGCATGATGAAATGACAGGTTCTGATTAAGATGATTGGACCTATTAACAGCTTGATTACATACTCTTTTTAATTACACATTACAGTACTCTCGCTGATTTACACACACTTCATAATTCACCGTTGCATGCACACACAGTAGTCCTCTCCAGGTAATGCAATTAAAACACAGGAACCAGCACTTCAGATCACTACAGTCTCTGCACCACAGCACACACAAAGTCTTCTAAATCACACTTGACATCCTCACAAGGCAACCTCCTATATTCTTCTGTATTCCATTCGCATGCTTCTCTTTTAACGCATACTTCACTCTGAGAACTGACTCCAGCTGGCTTCTTAGGATTCCAGTTTCTCCTATAAACCCAGAATCAGACAGGCGGAAAATGCAGCTTGCCCTCTTTTGCATAATCACCATGTTTACAGAGGCATTGCTAGGCAACTCTGCTGAGAGATGTTTACTGCAATGCTGTTTAGCAACCAGCGTGGTGCGGCTGCACTTCGTTCAGCTTGGCTTGGCTCTTCTAGGCATGGCATGGAGAAAACACTGCTTTCCTTATTATTGTATAATAGCTGTGTTTACAGATTTCTGTGACTCAATGATTTCTGCATGATGTAAAGACACCACAGTATTTTAAAGTTTTGCAGCAATATATGCTGAATAAACTAACAGCTGTGATGTAAAATAATGGAAAATATATGATTATAACATATTGGGACATGATACCAAAAAAGCAGAATAGCAGAACCAGAGAAGATGCCCATTGCTAGTCACTGGCATAGTAAACATGTTTCTGTGGCAACAAATACACATGCAACAGTAGAAGAACCACGGGAAGCAGTGTTTTACATGTGTTATGTGGCGAGGCTATGTAACAAGGACCAACAGGACAAGTTAGTTACTTGTGAGTCAGCAGCCATTGTTGGTGGTTGGCTGTGGAGACTGAGTATATGCTGTAACGATTTGTAAAGTGTGTAGATTAGTGAGAGTGTTATAATCATTTATATTTACAAGTCATAAGTGTTCAATAATTGAACTTCTTAATAAACTTCAAGCACAGAATGTCACTTCATACCATATTGGATTAAATTGACTTCCAGCAGTCACGAAATTTTAAATCTGAACTACCACCCAAATGTAATTACTTACAATTTCCAACTAGTTTAATTGTGCTTTCATCAGTATGTTTCTTGTTTGCACATTTCAGTCCTAATTTCAGTCCTACTGTATCATCTTCTGTGTCACTAATTCTGTAACATTTAATTCTATTTACAGTTCGTTGTTAGAGTGCTGATTTTCACCTTCATTAATGTTGTCATGTGTTAGTGACTAGACACAGGGTTTGGATTGACAAATGAATATATTGTAGCGTGTTTGGGTGGGTCACGCTACAAATAACTTTACGCCATATTAAATATAGCAAATCTTTATTGTAATTCACTTGCACACCTTACAATCATCACCACTTGCTGTAGTCCAATGACTGCTTACAATATCTCAGCCAGTACATCTGTATCTCTTGGCGTCTAGGTTCCAACCTTCTTCAGCGGCAGCTATTCCAAGACTATTCCCTTCGGCGGTTAATTTCGGACTAACTTCTTCGGCGGTTGCTATTCAATGCTTCAAACAATTCGTCACCTTTCATCTCCTATGAAACGAGTTTATTTGCCCCAGGAAACGATGTATCGCAACAATATCGCTATTGTCCGTACGTATGCAACGGTTTATTTTAGTGTTTCCATGGTAGTAACTCTTCGGAATTCCAAACATGTGACAATATTAAATGCTATATATGTATAACTACAAATAATTTAACATTCTCACTACTTTATGAAATGGGGCATGCAGTAGCTTAGTGGTTAAGGCACTATGCTACAAGCCGGAAGGTTGCGGGTTCAAGTCCTGCTGAGGTCATTGGATCTTTTCAATTGACCTAATCCTTCCAGCCGCACTATGGCCCTGGGGTTCACTCAGCCTCTAACAGAAATGAGTACCAGGAATTAATTAAATAATTTTCCTGGGGAGTAAATCGCGGCCGGAGCGTAAGGCTGACAACCTTTCCACCATTTTTGAGCTGATTGTCTAGATAATGTGGGACCCTCAACATCTCACAACCCTATGGGCCTTCATGGCCTGGTACAGGGATAGCTTTACTTTTTTACTTTTACTTTACTACT